GCCTTGTCGGGAATATGAATTAGAGGGTACACGTGCTGCTGCGACTTGCAAACCTCACTACTACTGGAATGGTGCAAAGATTAAAGCTCATTGTGTTGATGGAAAGTGGGAGAACGTTATGAAATGTCTACCAAGTAAGTACATGTACTATGTGTTCGGCCAGACTATGTTAAATTTCAGCTAGTTCTGAACAGCTGTTATGGAGATCTTCTTGAAGAAGATATCTTTGGCCTCCCAAAGATCGCCATGATGACCGGTCTTCTGATACCTGCAATGTTATGGAGATACCTTCTAACAAATCCATTAAAACATTCGCATTTATAATACTAGCTGTCGCCCGCGATTTAGCTCTTAATTTAAAAGAAGTCAAAAAGTGTCCTATTTGTTCTTCCAGACTATGTTCTATGTGTGACAAATTTCATTAACATCCGTTGAGCCGTGCCCAAAATATCTTCAAACAAACATCCATCATAAAATTCTCATTTAACATTGGTAGAGCGAGCTTTAACATCTTCGCACGAATCGTTTCGTCCGGTGAAATACCACGACCATACAGAAGACACGCCTCAAGTGGAAGCAATTCCGCGTTTCGTCTGATGAGTATGCGTCCCGGAGCCCTAATTTAGTCCTTTTTCCCTTCCCACCTTTTTTCTTATAAGGAAAGGATGGGAAGTGGAAGTGGACTTTCCGGATGAGAGGATGCATGGGAAGGGAAAATATTTTCTTTCTGTGCATCCTCTCCTCCGTCGATTAAAGTTAGGCAACGCATATGCAATTGCGTATGTTTATGGGTTGCCGCTTCGCTATTTAAGCGATTTCAGGTGACCGCTCGCTCGTTTGCCACCTTATGATATAAAAAATTTATAATATTAGTAATATTAAGACTCATGTTATATTTTATTTAGACTGCGGTACTGTAGTAGATAAAAGTACGGAATTAGTAATTGGGGGTAAAGTGGCTGTAAGGGGGGAGTTGACTTGGCACGCGGGTATATATAAACTCTCACCGGATGCGAGACAATATGACCAGATCTGTGGAGGATCACTTATAAGAAGAAGCACTATTGTCTCTGGTAAGTTTATCAAGATATCTATTCACTAGCTGTTGCCCGCGACTCCGTCCTCCCTAAGTTATTAGTAGCCTATGTGTTCTTCCAGACTATGTTCTATGTGTATGCCAAATTTCATCAAGATCCGTTCAGTCATTCTGGACATACCTTTAAACAAACATACATCTAAACATTCGCATTTATAATATTTGTAAGAAGATTAACAAGAGTTTCGGTGGCTCAGGGGTCAAGCACTTGACTTGTAATCTGCAGGTCCTGAGTTCGAATCCCGCCACGTAGCAATATGTTTTCTGACTTCCGATTTACATATGTATATTTAACCGATGTTACGGTGAAGGAAAACATCGTGATGCTGCACATATCTGAGAAAGTCAATGATATGTGTGAAGTCACTGCACTTGGTCAGCGTGGTTGACTATGGCCTAATCACCTTTAACTTAGGGTAGGCTCCGAGACTCTCAGTGGGGACGTATAGTGAGCTGATGATCCAATAAAATGTGTACAACAGTGATACATACTAAAAAAAGAAAAAAAAAATGTTAAATGAACAAACCAAAAGTCTGTGCCTCTTTACGTGTATTAATTAGTTTTTTCAATTTGTGTAAGTAGGTGCAGAAAATATCAAGGGTTGTCTTTTCCTATTTAATTCATTGTATGTCGTCTAATCTCATCTAATCTAATCTGATGTCATCTAATCTAATATAATCTAATCTCAGCTGCTCATTGCTTCTACGATGACAACAATGAGGCGTTACATCCAGCGAAAAACTTCGCAGCTGCCCTCGGTAAAATATATCGCTCTTGGGGCGACACAAGAGATAAGGATGCTCAGAAAAGATATGTAAGTACAAAAAATACAAAAAATATTTTTTCTTCTGTTTGTACCTAGATGGCGTTGTCCTTAATTTGTTATTAATAGATGTTAGCACTTGACTTGCAATCTGCAGGTCCTGGGTTCGAATCCCACCATGTACCAATGTGTTTTTCCATTTCCTATTTACATATGTACATTTATCCCATGTTACGGTGAAGGAAAACATCGTGATGCAACACATATCTGAGAAGTAACACAAAGATATGTGTGAAATCACTGCACTTGGCCAGTGTGGTTGACTATGGCCTAATCACCCTTAACTTAGGGTAGGCTTCAAGCCCTTCGGTGGGGACGTATAGTGAGCTGATGAATATATATACGGACGGGTCGACGCAGCGTAGGTAGGCCTCACACACGATGGACCGATGACCTGGTCAAGGTTGCGGGAGTGCATGCGGGCGGCACAGGACCGGCCATTGTGGCAATCGATGGGGGGAGGCCTACATCCAGCAGTGGACAAATTCAGGCTGATTATGATGATGATGATGAATATATACTAGCTGTCGCCTGCGATTCCGTCTGTACTTAATTAAAAAACTTAATTCCCTATGCTATATGTTCTTCCAGATTATGTTCATCAATGCCAAATTTCAGACAGATCCATTCTGGCAGATCTAACAAACATCCATACATTCATACATTCACATTTATAATTAATATTAAGTACGACGCAATCAAGGTTTAACAAAAACAAAACTTGTAGTTATTAAATCATTTTTAACCAGGTTAAAAACATCCACATACCAGAGACGTACAAAGGTCGAGAGAACAACCACCAGGACGACATAGCATTAGTAATAGTAGACAAGCCATTCACTTATACTTCATACATACGACCGGTCTGTCTAGATTTCAAGTTAGATTTTGAAATGGGCCAACTACAACCTGGTAATATGGGAAAGGTATTTTCACTTCTAGTAATTTCATTATATATGAGGTCTTATTTATCTTTACAGTTATGAGGTTCATTAGACCTCACATTTGGTTGATTTAAATAGATATTTCATTTTATGTTCTTATACAATTATAGCTAAGTATTAAAACACGCGGAACTCTTTAACAGTGGTAGAGCGAGCTTTAACATCTTTGCACGAATTGGCTCGTCTGATGAAATACCACGACCATACAGAAGGAAGGCGTCAAGTGGAAGCTATTCCGCGTACAGTCTGATGAGTGTGCGTCCCGGAGGCCTAATTTAGTCCTCTTTCCCTTCCCATCCTTTTTCTTATAAGGAAAGGATGGGAAGTGGAAGTGGACTTTCCGGATGAGATGCATGGGAAGGGAAAATATTTTCTTTCTGTGCATCCCCTCCTCCGTCGATTAAAGGCAACGCATATGCAATTGCGTATGTCTATGGGCTGTCACTTCACTATATCAGCGATATCAGCCACTCGCTCGTTTGCCACTTTATGATATGAAAAAATTGATTTAACAATATGTTTATACAGAGATTTGAGTCTCAGAAATCAACGATAACTCTGTTTATCTGTTCTCGAAATTTCTTTTTAAAAAGGGGTATAATTTTTTATCAATAAGGTTGCCGGTTGGGGTATGAAGGATACATCCGGGCAAGCATCTGATGTTCTTAAAGTGGTAGAGTTACCTGTAGTCGACTTCAAAGTGTGCTGGGATCGTGCACCATTTGATTTTAAAGCTTCAATCACTTCAAATAAATTTTGCGCTGGTTATTACAATGGTAAGTGTGACAAAAAATGCCAAAAACTTGATCGATTAAGGAAAAAATTATTTACATATATGTTTTGTTTGGTTTTGGTAAAATTTAAAATGTTTTGCTAAAAAAGCTATCTGTTAAAAAAAATACTAGTAGCCTATGCGTTCTTCTAGACTATGTTCTATTTTTTTTATCATTTTTTTATTGAAAATTTTAGCAGTTTATTTTTGTAAATTTACTAATATTTCTTTAACCATTCCAACTAGGCTCTATGCTTGTGCTAGGATATGGTTTACGACAATAGTCGAATGTCGGGATTCGAACCCCCGACCTCGCAATCGGAAATCCGTACCCTTAACCATTAGGCTATTGATCCTTTCAAATGTCATGTATGTATGCCAAATTTCATCGAGATCTATGCAGCTGTTTTGGAGATAACTTCTAACAAACATATGCATAAAATAAACATATGCATAACATTGAAAGAGGATATGCGTAAGAAGGGGGTAGACTCGGATATGACGGCTGATAGAGATGTATGGAGGAGTAGTACATACTGTGCCGACCCTCGATAGGAATAAGGGCAGGTTGATGATGATGAAACATCTTTTCAAACATTCGCATTTATATTAGTAAGATTATTCCACGATATGTTACAATAAACAAAAAATAAATCATGACATGTAATTTGACATTTCTCGGTTCCTACGTAAAATAACATAACTCAATTTGTCCAATTTTTTTCTCTCAGGTACAGCTCTCTGTCAAGGCGATAGTGGCGGTGGGCTATCATTTCCTTCTGAGGAATCCTCTGTCATCAGATATTATTTACGTGGTATTGTGTCAACTTCACCGGCATCAGTTGACCAGGATTTATGCAATGCCATGACCGTCACTACTTTCACGAAAGTCACATTGCAAGAGGCTTTCTTTAGTGAATATCTACATGAAGAATATTAGATTTGATATCTCACTCATTCTATATGAAGAAAAAAGAGATGACCAATTAGAGTACATTTTTGGGTATTATTTTTTAGGTTATTTATTTAACTAGCTGAATAATGAAAAAATATGTAAAAAAATTGTCTCGTGGCGATGAAGATTTTTTTACTTTTTTTAATTTTTATCATAATTTGTAATTTTGATTCTTTCCTTCATGCAAAACAAAATAAGTCTGGTCGCAATTGCAAAAAAATGTAAAAAAAAGTCAATAAAACACAGCCCGTAATTTTTTTGGATTGAGTTATAATATTGTGCTCTGTTATATGTCTGTATCGAATGTTATGTAAATCCGTTTAACTCTAGAGTCGGTCCCTCATGGTTGAGGATCGTGGTCAGCATCAGGGTTAGTTCTGGAGTAGACGATTCGTTTCTAGTGACATAAATTCAAACATATAAAAAAATCTCATTTACAATGGAGTATATAATAGTAAATAATCCGGCACTATTAAAAACCCGTGCCGGATTATTGGAATGTTCGAATTACTGGTTCACAGTAAGTCATAGGTAATGTAAAATTTTATTATTGTTATCTAGTTTTTGAGGTTAGACTGGTAGTCGACAAGGGTCAAGAGAGACGTGGCTGGGGATGCCGGATTATTGGATGTGCCGATCTATTGAAGTGCTGGATTACACTATACTGTAATTAGAACTTTGTCAAATAATTTATATCTCTTACTTCTTTTTAAGTTTAATTCTTAAAAGTAGAAGTTTTATTTCCCTCGTATACGAGATATTTGTTTCATATGAATGTCACCAAGTTATACTTTTCTAGAGTCTTTACAAATTGTCTAGACATTACTATCGGTTGTTTACAATTTACCGGTAACATTGTGTTTTCCCGGGTATCGATTTCAAGTCCGACCTAATTATCGCGACTCCTTGCATGACTAAACCATGGCAACTAACTTCGACACGCAATACAAATACATAAATTGTAGCTAAAATACAAAAAAAAAACTAAAATTAAGTATAAAATTTTATTTAAATAATTAAATGTTACATTATTATAGTTACGATTAATAATTTTCATCGTAAGTTCATTGACAAAATTAATTTAAAAATTTAATTTTTTAAGTTATAAACTTCTCTTTTGAAGTATTTTCTAGTTAGGTTTCTGCCAACCCATTCTACCTTTTCCTAATACAATCATGACCATGTCATCAGTTCCACCATCAGGGTCGGGGGAGACGCGCGCTGAACGTTTTCTAGGAGTGCCTATCAATAACATAAAACATATTAAAATATATAAAAGTTACAAATAACTAGTTGAAGCCCGCGTTTTATTTCGCACGAAACAAAAATAAAAATTAATAAGTAGTCTATGTGTTCTTCCAGACTATGTTCTACATCGATTCTTGATCCATGCAACCGTTCTAGAGATACCTTCTAACATCCATCCATCTAAACATTCGCATTTATAATATTAGTAAGATCATTCTACTCTTCATGAATTTAATAAATGGCCGCGTACGCATCACGTTCTGTTTATTTCATTTAAACGTTGGAATAAAATCAAATATTTAGTTTTAAAAGTCAGAGATGTAACAAAAACTAAGCTTTCTATAGACAGTCACTTACGTCCACTCCTTTCTTGATGCTAGGTGTGCGATAAAGACGAACTATACGCTCGTCGCAGGAGAGAGCAGGACGCCAATATCACATGTAGAACTGCCACCGACGCATATATGCTCGCCTGGTACTTTTGAAGCCATATTGTTATAGTTTCTTGACAATTCTGAAGAAATTATGTTCACTTTTTAAAAATAAAAAAATACAATAAGCAAGAAAGAGTATGGAATAAGTTTGAATTGGTTTTAACCGTTTTTTCAATGGATTAGCTGTCGCTCGCGACTCCGTCTGCGCGGAATTAAAAAAAAAACTTAAGTAGTCTATGTGTTCTTCCAGACTATGTTCTATATGTATGCCAAATTTCATAGAGATCTGCTAAGCCATTCTGAAGATAACATCCAAGCTTTAAACATCCATCCATCCATCTAAACATTCGCATTTATAATATTAGTAAGGAATAAGATAAGGTTATTTCTTGAAGAAGACAGTTTCTGTTTTGTTCTAAATTAAACTCGCCCGGAAATAATTCTGAAAGAAACGGCAGTTAATTCTCGTATAAGTTCGAATCTTCACCCCTCTCAGCGTCAAAATCAATTAAGCACAAAACTTTACACTTTATAGCCTGTCCATGTATAATCAGTGGTACAAAAGTATAAAAGGGCTCAAGAAAAAGATAATTGGTAAAAGAGGTCGCTAGAGAATGGCTAATAGGAATAAAAATTCATCATCAAACCTTGGTATACGTCATCTTTGCAGAACAATTGTTTGGATATCCATTCACGCCACAGCACGACCATGGGGGTAGAATCTGGTCTGCACTAGACCTATGGATTATTTTGTATAATTAAAAAAAACGGGAAACACGACAGACTTTACCAACATAACTCAGGGCTTAAACATTTGACTTGCAATCTACAGGTCCTGGGTTCGAATCCTCCCATATACTATTGCGTTTTAAATTTACATATGTACATTTATCCGATAGTGTGAAGGAAAACATCGTGATGCACATATCTGAGAAGAAATTCAAAGATATGTGTGAAGTCACTAGGCCAACATTGAGTATGACCTTTTTTTTTCTTCCAGAGAGGAATGAAATGCTTTACGCATACTCCGCGCCCCGGGGGGGACGCGGTAGTTATGTGGGATTCTCCTCCATAGCGGAGGCATACCCACTAAACCTCTCTGTTCCTCCAACGAATCGGGACCGAACCACGGGCACGCTTTCGCTCTCGTCCGCGATCAACATTGACTATGACCTAGTTAACTTAGGATAGGCTCCAAAACCCTCAGTGGGTACGTTACGGTACGCATAGAAATTCTATCACCCTACAACCAGTCGGGCAAAAAAGGTGGGCAATTTTGTTGAATACTTACGTATAATTCTGATCACAACAATGAAATGCGAGCCTCAACGCATGAGTTATTTGACCGTCTTCAACTTGAATACCTTTCTGTAAGAAAAATGCATAATATGTAAATTCCAAAATTTTTAATCGTAATTTATATCATATTTCTTACTAATATTATAAATGCGAATGTTTGGATGTATACAAAGATGTCTGTTAGTAGATATCTCCAGTACAGCTGAACGAATCTTGTTGAAATTTGGCACAGATGTAGAAAATATTCTGGAAGAACACATAGGTTACTAACTAAGTTTTATTTTATTCCGCGCTGATGGAGTCGCGGGCAAAAGCTACGAGTAGTTCTACATAATCTTAACAATGCCATCTAGTGACAAAAAAAACAATTATTTTTTTCAACTCACCTCTATTAAATTTGATGTAAAGTAGAAAATAATTGCACATTCCAAAAGTAAAAGTAGAAACACAAGTATTGAGTACTAAAACAAAAAAATACATGTTACTAAAATTATAAATGCGATCTTTTTTAATATAAGGCAAACGAGTAAGCGGTCTTAAATCGCCGAAATGGGGAAGCGAGCGCCCAGAGACATCCGCAGTTGCAGATACGTTGCCTATCTTACATTCGACGGAAGACGGGACGCACGGAAAGAGAATATTTCCCTTACCTATGCGTCACGTCGTCCGTCAAATCCGACCCCCTTCTCATCCTTTGCTTATGTGAAAAGGGTGGGAGAGGACAAGACTCCGCGTTGGAAGGTATCTCGAGTAGGGCTGCGTGGATCTTGGTGAAATTTGGCATATAAAACATAGTCTGGAAGAACACATAGACTACTATTTTTTAAAAGCGCGGACGGCAGCATCAACTTGTTTTGGGTTTTAGAAATCGACTCTACTTACCATAAATAAGAGAAACTGTGAACAATATATAGCGCCATAAAATCCCATGAAAGATATAAAGAAAAAGAAAATAGCTAGAAGAGATAACGCTATTCCTAATTGTACGTCCAAAAACTCTTTAGGAAATAGCACCTGTAATAAAAGCAAGCAATTACAAAAAAATGACTATCACCCAGGGCACTGACTTATAAATACACTGGCTATAAGACGTTGTATTTTGTGCCTCTTTGATTTACGCCATTTCGACGCTGAAGGTAGCGGTTTGTAGAAGTGGTGTTGATACGAACTAATATAGATAGAATTGTCAAGTGACATGAACAGATGTGAATCGGAACAAAGTAACAGCTGTAATTTCGAAACAATAGCCTATCCATTTATAGAGAACAGTATATTAGGGTCTACGAGAAAATATTATACGTCGGAAGCTTAGTAGTTAGGGCAAACATCGTCACATATCTATGAAGAAATTGAAAGATTTTAAATTCAAAAATTAAGGCAACGAAAGGCGTGATTGACTAAATACTGGTTACGATGAACCTAATCTAATTTTAGTAATATAAATGCGAGAGTTAAGAAAGGATTTGGATGTTAGAAGGTGTCTCCAGAACTGCAGCATAGATCTCGCTGAAATTTGGCATACATATAGAACATAGTCTGGAAGAACACATAGACTACTTATTAAGTTTCTTTAACTTCAGCGCTGACGAAGTTTTAAGCGACAGTTTTTCTATAAATATGTAATTCGAATATCGACTATCATGACACATTGACCTGGATATTCTAATAAAACATAATTCTATCATATCCTTACAAATGATTACCAATAGTACATGATATTAAGGGTAATTGCCTTGTAATAACCGTTTATAATGACACTAGCCAGCCTCGACTCAGTCCGCGCGTCTTTAAAAAAAACTTAATTAGTAACCTATGCGTTCTTCCAAACTATGTTCTACATCTATGCTAAGTTTCAGCTAGATTCCTTTACCTCTTCTGGTGATATTATCTAACAAACATCCATCTAAATATTCGCATTTGATGACGCCCACTGCTGGTCTGGATGAAATCAATACAATGTTTAAGTTCACATCGTGCCTGGTACCGATGTCACAAGATTTGATAGACTTAAAATAACCCAATGTTATTCTGGGTTTCTAAGACAAAAATCACCGTTTTAAATACATCGTTATTCCTGTCATTTGACATGTTTGGCATAACAATATGTTTTAAACTGTGATTAGGTAGATTAACTAAAATCTGCTAATATTATAAACAAAAAGTATTAACTATATTTCCTTTTCATCATAGCCTAAATTTGTCCACTGCTGAACGCAGGCTTCCTACGTTGCGTCGACCTATCCGTTGCCGCCTAAGACTCTTCGGTCCCATCGGTCGTCAGTTCTGCGGGCAATGTGGCCGGCCTATAGATTGAGGTTTGCAATTCTTCGGGCAATCTCTTAAGGTAAGGAAAAACTACGGCATTTTATTGTAACAGAACGAGTCGCTCATATATTATAATGTATCCTTTCATAAACCACAAAGGCTATGGAAACTATGCTTTTACCAAGAAATGCTTAAAAATCTTTTTAGAAATGCTTAAAAAAATCTTTAGTGTATATTCACCTTTATATTAACCAAAAATTTAGGAAGGCTCACTATACATCCCCACTAAAGCTCGGAGCCTACCCTAAGTGAACTAGGCCATAGTCAATGCTGGCCCAGTGTGACATATCATAAGAGGTGGCAAACGAGCGAGCGGTCACTTGAAATCGCTGAAATAGAGAAGTGACCGTTGCCCATAGACATACGCAATTGCATATGCGTTGCCTACCTTTAATCGACGGAGGAGAGGATCCATAGAAAGAAAACATGTTCCCTTTCCATGCATCCTCTCATCCGGTATGTCCGCTTCCACTTCCCATCCTTCCCTTATAAGAAAAAGAGTGGGAAGGGAAAGAGGACTAAATAAGGCCTCCGGGACACACACTCATCAGACGAAACGCGGAATTGCTTCCGCTTCACGCCTGTCTTCTGGTCGTGGTATTACACCTGGCGAGCTGGGCCAATTCGTGCGAAGATGTTAAAGCTCGCTCTACCACTGTTAAACTTCACACATCTTTAAATTTCTTCACAGATATTTTGCATTAAACGTCGGATAAATGTACATATGTAAATCGAACACATTGGTACTTTTCGGGATTTGAACCTAGCTTACCTTGATAACAGGACTGCCGTTACTATGGATATAAAAAGATAGACTATCCGGAGAAGAAATCATCCATAGACTTAACGCAAATAATGTACAGCAGAAAATCTGTAACAGAAATAAAAATTATTATAAATTAAAAAATGAAAAAAGTATTTTTAGCCAAAAAATAATAGGCTGAAAGGACTAGTCGTTTATATATAAAAAAAAACATTGTACTGCACTGGCTGTAAGACGTAATATTTTGTGCCTATTTCAAAAATTACTTACCATAAAAATTAAATTAGTCAATATTAATATAGCGGCTGCTACTTGAGACATTTTTTTAGTCTTCTTCCCCATATTTGTTAGTGAAATTATTTTAAAAATGAATTTTATTCCATTTAGTATTAAGATGATGCTATAAAAAAATTCGTTATCGTCTTTTGCTAAAAAGGTTCTAAATTTTTTTTCATTCTTGTTTTACTCTGTTTAAATTACATTTTTAATTTTTAGTTGACACTGTAACCGCAACCTTATTTCCGCGTTGTATTCCTATCTCGCCCTAACATGTGAAACCAGAACGAGACAGAAGATGCGTGACGTGACAAACACAAAGGTATGCTTTTATTAATTCAACAGTGGGGTCGATGAAATTCTCAATTTATTATTTAAAAGGTAATTTTTTTATTAGACTGTCCTATTCTAATAATTCTCTTTGTCCCATTTATTTACTAGTGGGTCTAATAATTTAATGCCAGTATGTGTAATTATGGAGAATTAAAAAAAAAATCAATATACATTTACGAAAAAATAGGCAATTGAATTATTCCAATAATAAATTAGAATTAATGTATAAAAGAAATATAATTTAACACTTTTTCATTCAATTTAAATTTATATTTAAAATAAAAATTATTTTAACCTTTTTGATAAAAAGTATTCACAAGTTTCTAAACGTCACTGACAATTTCCCGCCCTTTATTAACTCTATGAAACATTTCACGCGTACGATGTAACTTTTTTTTTAAATTCCGTGCACGTCACATCACCGTCGAGTCATACGTCCAACTGAAGACTGAATAGAAAAGCGAAATCCCTGACCTAATAAACATATTTAAGGGTATGATTCTATTAAAATATGTATTTTGTACTGTATTAGGATTTTTACTATAGTCAGTTTGAGATGAATTTAGCCAGTAATATGGAGTGAACAATTTTTTTTTGCACAAACCTCAGATTTTATTGTTAAAAAAAAAATTATAAAAGCAATGAAATTTTCCGATTATATTGTAGGTTTCACATCTTTTTCTGCTTATATCATATTACTAGCTATCGCCCGAGTCTCCGCCCGCGTGAATATATAAAAAATACTTAATTAGTGTAGCCTATCTGTTCTTTCAGACTATGTTTTATTCGTATGCCAAATTTAATCTAGATCCGTTCAGCAGTTCTAGAGATATCTTCAAACATCCATCCATCCATCCACATCATATCCATCTAAACGTTCGCATTTATAATATTACTAAGTTAAATAAAAAGCAGCTCTTCAAGGCATAAATTCGAAAAAAAAAGTCAGTCTCCTGGCTATAAGCAACCTTCTCACCAATTTTTAGGCATATCGGTAAAGCCGTTCTTGAGTTATAAATAGTGTGACTAACACGACTTTCTTTTATATATATAGATTTTTATTTGTTAAACATTCAACAAATTTAAAAACATAAATATAACGCTACCTTCTTATTAATATTATAAATGCGAATGTTTGGATGTTTGTTAGGTGTCAGAAACTCCATAGATCTCGCTGAAGTTTGGCATAGATGTAGAACATAATCTGGAAAAACACATAGACTATAAATTAAGTTTTTTTTTTTAATTACGCGCTCACGTCGCGGGTGACAACTAGTAACATTATAAGTAAGGAATATAAAATCAGAATTCTCGTTTTCTTTATAATGAATAAAATAAAAAATTATCCGCTTCTCTTACTAATGTGTCCTATACATTAGTGATGTAATAAGTCTTTATTCCGCATAGAATATAAAACAAAAGTTTTTTTTTTTTTGTGCAGGCATGTTTTTTTTCTATTTTTTTATGCAAGCGCCCATAGACAACCACAAAAAGATGCATTGTGTATAACATAGGAGAGGGTTTACGAGATTATTTTTCTCTTTAATAAACACCAGCTTTTGCTCGCGACTTCGTCCGCCAATGTCTTTCCAGACAGTTCTACGTCTGTGGCAAATTTCAGCGAGATCCATGCAATCTGGAGATACCTTCAAACAAACATATATCCATCTAAACATTCACATCTATAATATTAGTCAGATTACTAAGGTGATAGAACATAAGATGAAATATGTAAACAATCGAGTTCTATTTTATGGCATTTTTTCGCGTACAAGTTAAAGTAATACCCCTATTCTGGAAGTTTGTGTTTAGGTTTACCAAATACCCCGTTTTCTTAACTTACATGATCCAATATTAGTTATAAAGTCATTATCACTGTCATTCTGATTCTGACCTCATATAACCTGTTTCAAAGAACATCTTCCTGAGTTGCCATGTGAATAAATTTGCAAGAAAATTGGGATATAATAAAAAAAAATTATCGCGAGTTACGTAACCACCAGTTCCATACCACCAGCACCATATCTCAAAAGAACTTGTGCGTTAAAATAATTAATTAAATAAAAAATGTACAATAATAATACAAGATATTTTTTTATCTTACTAATATTATAAATGTAAATGTTTGGATGTATGGATGAATATTTGTTAGAATGTATCTCCAGTACATGCATGGATCTGTCTAAAATTGATCTTAGGTGTAGAGTATACTACGAGTACCACGGCTACTAATTAAGTTTGTTTACTATTTCACACGAACGGAGTCGCGGGCGACGGCTAGTATTATCTAATACACAATTAAAATTATGTAAAACTAACGGTCGACAGAGACATCGTCCGCGAGGAATTAAAAAAAAATAATAAGTAGTCTATATGTTCTACCAAACTATGTTCTATATGTTTGGAAAATTTCATCGAAATCCGTTCAGCCGTTCTGGAGATACCTTCATACATCCATCTAAACATTCGCATTTATAATATTAGTAATTTAAAATGTTTCCCTTAATTCAACATTACGATAAATATGAAATATGTAAACAGAAAATCTTACCTAACAAAGTAAATTAAAACGATACAGCCAGTGGCTATTTACAAATTAAAAAAAAAATAAGTCGCATAAAAATCATTTGAGGAAAAATATGATCATTCACCTAGCAATACAATCAGTACGCTCGGGTTTCCCGAACTGGAAACACGTATTTATATTACAGATATATTTTAAATCTGTTTATTCAATTTAAAAATAATCTTAAATGATTTTTATGAAATTATGTCGTTAAACGTGTAACCTTCAAGTGTCCGCCATATTGTTTTTACTTATATTTTAAATTTAGTGTGTAATTGTTTTGTTTCGAAGTTTGAATATTCTTTAGTGTTTTAATTACAAATGGCTAAACTGTACTACAGTTTTTGGAACGTGTTTTTTCTTGTTTTCGGTGAGTTATTCTTTGAAATAAAGTTTTTTTTCTTATTACAGCTTCATTTAGCATTAAAAGGCGATAAATAAAAGAGTTTATGCCTACCATGTTGTTAAAGTTATAAACGCACTGTTTTCAGTATATGCTTCTCTATTAGATTCAAAAAATCATCGCCGGCGACTCTGTCCGAGCGGGATTACATATATTAAGTAGACTATGTGTTCTTACAGACTATGTTCTGTATGTATGCCAAATTGCAATGAGATCCATGCAACCGTTTTAGAGATACCTTCAAAAAAACATCCATCCATCCATACATCTAAACATTCACGTAGTAAGATTTGTAGTTCATACGTAGATTGTTATAGAATCTACATCTTACTTCTTACTAATATTATAAATGCGAATGTTTAGATGGATGGATGTTTGTTTGAAGGTATCTCCGGAACGACTCCACGGATCTTGTTGGAATTTAGCACAGATATAGAACACATAGGTTACTTAGTGAGTTTGTTTTTAACTCCGCACAGACGTTGTCGCGGGCAGTAAATTTATTTAATGAAAAGAAAATGACTATCCAATAGCATCAATACAAGCATTAATATAAACTCAATATTATAAATATTCTATTAAAGTTCATTTATCAAAATTAATATAAAAAGAACTGAATGACAATTGTTACACTAATTTCGTCAGGGGAATTACCACGAAGCTACGTAATTACAATAATGACGACTAAAACCTTTGACTATAAAGAAACGGACTAAACACAGCCAGCGCGCTACCTTTGTAAAAAATACTGTTATTATACTTTTAACTAAACGTGAGATAAATGTAACTAATCATAGGTTTCTAAGAGCAAAACTCAGTTTAAAAGATTCAACTCTGATTTGTCAAAGATTAATGACAGGGATGACGATATGTTTTATACTGAGGTTTTGGTATCAGAAACCCATGGTAAAGGTAAAAGTGTAGTATAATTAGGTGACTAACTTATGACAGGGCTGCACGCGCCTTTTTGTACGTGTAATTTCGCGTCGCCTAGAAACTTGAAGCCGCAAATTTAGCTCTCAAATAGAACACTTTACGCTAAAAAAAAACTAGTAAATGAATGATGACACTATTTGACTTTTCTCTATTTATTAAACGTTGGATAGAAAGTTCTTACTAATATTATAAATGCCAAAAATTTAAGTGGAAGCATGTTTGTTAGAAGGTATCTCGGGTACGGCTTAACGGATCTTGATATTTCGCAAATAGAACATAGTCTGGATGATCACATAGGCTATTTATTAAGTGTCACGGGCGACAGCTAGTCTTTCAATGTAGCCTTAAATCTAATTTCAGTAATTTATTTAAAATAATATTATTACCGGATCCTGTCTTTCAAGGTCACGAATCTATAACTGGTTAATACCCATCTTCACAAATTATGTCTATGATTTTTAATCGTTATATAATTGATTTCGATTCAAGCTAAATTAAACTCTATTTCCTTTGTCTAAGATACAAATATGATTGACCTTATCACTTTTGGTTGGACAACGTATTTTGAATCTTATAGCTATTGAGAATAAGATCGAGTTTTTTATGCAGTTTGCTTACTTCTATAGTGTGGTTTTGAAATTATTATAAATGCTGGAATATGATAAATTGTTTTTTCGTTTAAAAAAAAATTATTAATTTCGGCAATAAAATCCACTGACGTCTATAAATGGTCTGGCTATAAGACGTAGTATTTTGTGCGTATATGATTTTTGCGATTTTGAAATCGGAACGAATTTAAAATCAGTTTCCAAGCAATCGCCTATCCATAGAGTACTGAACATTTTTCTTTATACCACGAATTTACTCCGAATAGTTTTTCGAATTCATATAAAGCGACTTATGGTGGTAGGGGTCGTTTTTTATTTACCTTTTAATTAAACCACTACCATTTAAACTCGATTTTGTTAAAAAAATCACGTATTTATTAATTCAAGTGAGTTCATTTGAGCGGAATTTAAATATTGTAGCCAAAAATATAACTTTCTTTATCTACCTTTCAAAATCAATATAACCGTTTCAAATATCAAACGGATGACAGACAGACAGACAAAAAAATCTATTTTCTATACCTACAGATTTTATCTATTGTATATATAAATGGGTTTTCCCTCTCTGGTACTCCCCTCGGTGTTTTTAATACGTCAGGATATTCACAACTAATTGTGAAATTCAAATCACTTGACACTCCGTCTCTGTTGTTTTCATGGAAAACGGACAGGATAAACTACGTAATAATCAGTAACTGACGTCCCCCTAACCTAGACCTAGACTTAGCTGGATCAACGGATGGTGACTACCAGATTTGGATGGAATATTATTACGTATCTCTAAGACAGCTTAATACATCTCGATTTACCACAGAATAGTCTGGAAGAACGCATAGAGTTTTGATTAATTTTAACGCAGACAGTGTCGCGGGAGCTAGTAGTATTGAACTAGTGATCGCCATGAGAGCGTCGGTGGCTCAGTGGTCAAGCACTTGACTTGCAATCTGCAGGTCCTGGGTTCGAATCCCGCCATGTACCAATGTGTTTTTCCATTTCCGATTTACATATGTACATTTATCCGATGTTACGGTGAAGGAAAACATCGTGATGCTGCACATATCTGAGAAGAAATTCAATGATATGTGTGAAGTCAACCAACCCGCACTTGGGCAGCGTGGTTGACTATGGCCTAATCACCCTTAACTTAGGGTAGACTCCGAGCCCCTCAGTGGGGACGTATAGCTGATGATGATCGCCCATCGGAGGAAATTGGAAAATAATTATTTTGTACACACACGAGTTTATTTTATCAATAGTTTTGCTCAGATTTATATGATCTTTGAACTTATAATCTTATCATTTTAATAACATTACTGTATCAATATAAACCAGTGGTTCCCAAACTTATTTTGTCTACTGCCCACTTTGAGAATAAATATTTTTTTAGCGCCCCCATATTTTCACATATTTAAAAACCACTATAAATTCAAATTAAATTAATTATTGTGACCTATATATGTATATTAACGGAGAATTGTAAAGGAAACTTTTACTATAACCCGCAACTTGAGACCTGCAGCGCACACAAGGGGGCGTTATCGCACACTTTGGGAAAGACTGATATAAAATAATAGTATTATAATATATAAAATATATATTCAAAGATATAAAACAGTGGTAGAGTCCGCATTAACATATACCAAAAAAAGTTTGTGTATACATAAACGTAGTGTTTGTCTCGAGCGTACACTCCATAAGTACAGTCAGCGTCATATAGATCGTCACAGACAAGATATGCAAATATATAGGTACACCAAAAGTATTCAATTATATCGGTACAACAAAAGTCCTCAAAATAATAGATACATTCACCCTGCTCAAATACATCGGTACATACACAGCGTCAAATATATGAGTACATGCAAGATGCTCATAAATATCGTAGCAGCCACAGCGTCATAAGTAACGAAGCAGTCAAAGTGCGCAAAAATATCGGTACATTTGACAAAATTGAACTCTATCTCTATATACTTGTGATACAATTTGGAATAAACTACTTCTGTTACATTCATTTGACACTTTGTATTAACATTATAGGTTGTCCGGAAAGTTCGTCCTGATTTTCGATATAAAGCTTACAATAGACTGTAGCTGAAGTGGATTCATTTTAGGATTTCCACCATTATCAAACGTCACAAAAATTTATATATTGTGAATAATTTCATTTCATTGGTTGAGATAAAAACTAATTTTTAAAATTTTATCCAATAATAAAAGACGTTTTAGGTATAGAGTCGTACCAATATAATTTAAAAACATTTCCAAAAATTTAAGAGAACAGGGTTTCAATTTTCCTTATAAAGCGGCACGAACTTACTGGGCAACCCAATATTTTTCTTCTCCTGTCATAACGCTTAAATATAAAAGTTTGTCATGCCGAATATGACAGATACGTATTAACTAATATCAAATTTTGCCTTGTCACAATATATATAATACTAGATTGGCGCAGTATTCTGGTATGTTTGCCGTAATATGTAAGTTTACCGGTTCGAATATCAGGCTACTTTTTTTTCATTTTATCAATCACGGGGTTATTTTTTCATAACCAGTAAAAATTTGGTAATGTAAAATTTTGCTCGACAATTTTTTTTTATAATTTTGGCTGTCGGGTAGAAAGAAATTTAAATAAAGTTAACAACAATTAGGTCAGACCATCGCCGGCGAAGTGAGTGGGCGGAGCGTGGATTGTCTTTGCGGGTTTTAAGAATGGTACGCGCGGAAACTATACGTACAAGTGTTATCTACATATGTGTGCGCGCCCACGCACACTGGAATGTTTATTGCAATCGACCAAAAATTTTATGTAGTTTGGATATTGACATTCAGTTTTTTTTCTTTGTTTCTTAAATATAATCAGTATCAGTAAAAGGTAAAAGTAAAAGTGTTATTTTTACCGATACAAGTTTAACAAACATGAGTAATAAACAAATTACATGTCAATAGCATCGTTTTATCTCCTTCATTTTTGTTTGAAATAGAAAAGTACTTTAACGGTCAAACTCAGTCCAAGGCAATATCAAAAAGTACCTAATAACTACGGCGATAGAGTTTAATTACATGTGCTTCGATATTAAAATTAAAAAGTTAAAATATCAAAAAAAAAAAATAGTTGCTTGGGATTTGAACCGCCGAACTTACGTACCAACGGCGGCGAACGGTAAGGCCACGAGACCAAACTAGCATATATGATGACAAACTTAAATTTGATGTTGGTTTTATCTACCTAATATCTGTCATCCGCGTCGAACACTTTTAGTAAATTTTGAAAAATGGTTTGATGCAAAGTGTCAAATGAATGTAACAGAAGTAGTTTATTCCAAATTGTATCACAAGTATATAGAGATAGAGTTCAATTTTGTCAAATGTACCGATATTTTTGAGCACCTTGACTGCTTCGTTACTTATGACGCTGTGGCTGCTACGATATTTATGAGCATCTTGCATGTACTCATATATTTGACGCTGTGTATGTACCGATGTATTTGAACAGGGTGAATGTATCTATTATTTTAAGGACTTTTGTTGTACCGATATAATTGATTACTTTTGATGTACCTATATATTTGCATATCTTGTCTGTTACGATCTATATGACGCTGACTGTACATGCCGGAGAGAAGGGACGTCAGTCGATGTCAGACCTTTGGACCGGCAACACGTGTCGGTACGTGAACGAGCCAAATATAACGCAACGAATGCTACAGTATGGAATGACTGTGTGAAAGAGGATATACGTAAGAAGGATTCAGATATGACGCCTGATAGAGATGTATGGAGTACATATTGTGGCGACCCTCTGCAGGATAAGGGAGGTTGGTGATGAGAGCCCGCTACATCTTCGCTCGAATTGGCTCAACCGGTGCACACGACCACAGAAGATGTGCCTCAAGTAGAAGCTATTACAACTACAGTCTGATGAGGGTAGTATCGGAAGCCTAATTTTAGTTATCTAACAGAGTAGAGGAAGCATAGGTACGGGAAATATTCTCTTTCTGTACATCTACTCTATTGATTAAAGATAACTGCAATTGCAAAAGGCATTAGGCGAATTTAGGTAGCCCCTTGTTATTTGCATCTTATGTATTTAAAAAATTTAATTGTCGATTTAAATTTATATTTCTCTTTGCAGTTACGAACCCAATTTTCACGGCTGTTGTAAGAGAAGAGGAAGGAACCTGCAGGTAATATTGCTGGCTGTCGCCCGCGGCTCCGTTCTCGCGACATTGATATACAGTAGTCGATTGTCAAACTGAATATGCATAACAAATTTCATATAAAACAGTCAAGCCGTTACCGAGTATAGTAACATTGTGACACGAGAATCTTACTAATATTATAAACTAGCTGTCGCCCGCGACTCCGTCCGCGTGGATATATAAAAAACTTAATTAGTGTAGCCCACCCATCCACATCACATCCATCTAAACATTCGCATTTATAATATTATTAAGTTAAATAAAAAGCAGCTCTTCAAGGGATAAATTCGAAATCCTATGTCCATCTCCTGGCTCTAGGCTACCTCCTCACCAATTTTCAGGCATATCGGTAGAGTCGTTCTTGAGTTATAAATAGTGTAACTAACACCACTTTCTTTTATAAATATATAGAAGATATATAGATGACAATGTATGGATGTATGTTTGAAGATATCTCTGGAACGGCTACATGAATCTCGATATAATATAGAACATAGTCTGAAAGAAATTATAGGCTACTAATTAAGTTTTTAATTCTACGCGGACGAAGTCGTGAACAAGATACAGCTTTTAGTAATAGAGGGATATTACGTTTTGAACGAGGATTTTAGTCTCAGAAACCCACAGTTAAAGCTTCAGTTAATATTAAGGTTTGTTCCAGTCCTGGTGAGGTACAATGCGGGGATTTATCATGTGTATCCACGGACAGGATATGCGACGGTCAACCTGACTGTCCTGATCGAGAAGATGAACAATTTTGTGATGGTGCCTCCCAATCGTATGTTATCAAGTTTACACTACCGAAACATGTTACTGTAACATATCATTTCTGAGAGAGAGAGAGAGAGAGAGAGATTGAGAATCTCTTACCCTACTAATTTAACAGGGTAAAGATTATCGTCCGTGTGAAGGGCTCGGAGACTACCCTAAGTTAACCAGGTCGTAGTCAATGTTGGCCCAGTGCAGTGCCTTCACACATATCTTTGACATTTCTTCTCAGATATGTGCATCACGATGCTTACCTTCACCGTAACATCGGATAAATGTAAATATGTAAATCGAAAAACACTAGTATATGACGGGATTCGAACACAGGACCTGCAGTTTACAAGGCTTAACCCCAGAGATTCGTTTCATATTCTTCTACAGAAGAATTTAGTTGTGTTTTTTTAATTGTCTTTGGTTACATATTTTAATTAAATTCGCCTAACTTAATGTATAATTTCTAGGCTCGTATCAACATGGAAGAGTGGGCATAAAAGATCTAGAAGGCAGGCGACTTCGAATTGTCGGTGAGTTTTTGTCTCAGTAAAATATTTGTTACAAAAATTACAGCGCGATATTGACGTCATTCTTTACTATTACAAAAAGATTTTTTTTTATATCGTAAAAAACCAGAAAGGTATTACATGCATTCGCCGAAATAGCGAAGCGACGATGTTTACAAACAAAACACGGAATTACATCTAATTGTCGCCAGTCTGTGGTAATACTCGTATTAAACTGATTTTGAACTGTTAGAGAAAAAATTTCCCGTCATAAATTTAACTAAATGTTTCCTTCACAAAGTCCCAGTAAAGTGTTTGATAACTAAAAAAAAAACTGATTTGCAATAATTACTGTCAAAATGTCACAACTTATTCATAGATTTTGTAACACCACCGACGTTATTTTACTTCCAATTAGCTTAATCTTAGATAGTGAAACAGGCCCTTAACACGTTAGCTGCCATGTCGGACTATATGACCGACAAGCTAATGTTTCAAACAGGCTGTGTCGGACTATGTGTCCGACACGCCATACTTGCATTCAACGCCTCGCTGTGGCTTTTTAATCGAATTGTTGTATACAGCGTGACTCCCAAGGTCCCATAAAGCTTATAAACAGCGGGTCAATTTTTTTCGTTTTTCGAAAAATCATTCTAGCAGCTAACGTGTTAATATATTATTTCTTAAAAGCGTATTCTTTTTTATAGTAAGAATCAATGGCCATGTCGGGACACAACTTGTATAAATTTCGACGGAAAATGTGATGGAATAATAAACTGTCCCGATGGAAGTGATGAGACGTACCCTCTTTGCAGATCTGAGAAGTAAGTAACTTTTTGTTTCATCATCATCAGCTCACTATACATCCCCACTGAGGGGCTAGGAGCCTATCCTAAGTTAAGGGTGACTAGGTCATAGTCAACAACGCTGGTCAAGTAAATCCGTACTTCACACATATCTTACTCACTTTTTGTTTACAGGACCTAAAACAGCTTGATTTTAAAAAGGTGTTCCTTTCGCATTCTCTCCAAAGGGTCCACCGCATTACAGGACGATAATTGTGACATTCACCCTAAAACAGCTTAATTTTAAAGCCATTTCATTTGAATTCTCTCCAAAGGGTTCATCCATAAATTACTTGTTATTATTCATTATGGGGGTTGGGAGGTGATCGAAATTATGTGTCAAGGGGCCGGGGATGGTTCCCAATTTTTTTAGAAATGCCTCAACACTTCGCCTTGTCGTCATTTTCTTATAAAATTTGTGACATCACATTAGCAAGGGGGGGTTTCAAATGTGTCCAGCCGTGTCAAGGACATGACATTTTCAAACATAATGTATTTACGTTGCTTAAAACGAAAATCCTTTTTTATCTACAATAGACTTATTCCAGTTCTTTTTCCAGATGCCAGAGTAACTGGTTCAGATGTACTTACGGTGCATGTGTGGATGGCACCGCTCCTTGCAATGGTATACAAGAATGTGCTGATAATTCTGACGAATTGCTACCTAGATGTAGAAATGAGACTGATGAAGTGTCGTAAGTAAACAATTATTTATCAAATATGTCCAGGCTTTTAAGGTCATATTCGACCCGACATACTATAGTGTCCAGATTTTGATGGTCATATTCGACCTGACATACTATAGCAACTAGACGACACTAGAGTTTATTGGGTCGAATGGGACCGTCAAATTCGAGTGTTGAAATATTTTAGAAGTTTCATGTGGCTTACATTTTATATTAGCTTCAACCGTTACGACGGGCCGAAAAGTCCTACAGTGTTAATGTCATTTCGTGGTGGTCAATTTAGACACTTCTTCTTCTTCTTCTTCTTCTTCTTCTTCTTCTTCTTCTTCTTCTTCCTCTTCTTCTTCCTCTT